GTGTGTGTGTGTGTGTGTGTGTGTGTGTGTGTGTGTGTGTGTTGGGCTACTGATTAGTCAACAATGGTAGGAACCCCTGCAAGACTTAGTCCCTGAGTTAGTAGATGGGGACCAGGGCAATAGAACTGGGTGTTTATTTTCATGATCACTTGATTACTTGATCCCTGGATGCTTAATGAAGTTTACTTGGTAGGTCTTGCCTCTGCTAATGTGTGAGCTCCCCAGGGTGACAGGGCCCTACTATCAGCACTGAGCTGCGGTTTCACATAATCCAGTGGTATTGACAAATTTTTTATTGATGGTGGAATAAATTCAAAGAATTTAAACTCTTTTCCTTCCCCTCTGGATTAATTTCTGTCCCCATTGTTTAACTCCTTGAACCAAAGTCCCACCCACCCCCATCTTCCAAGCCTTTACCTGCCATTTCTTGTGTTCTCTCATATGATATGGGGTTGAGTCCCAGTTTGTCCCAGTCTTGTGACCCAGGGCAAGGTATTGAACTTTGTAAAGATGAAGTCAGAACATGCCTAGCCTGGTGCATGACACCCACTGGCACTTGAGCACGAGGTAGGAGTGCCTTCCTGAAGGGGCTGGGTTACTCAACTTTTGACAATGTGCTACAATCTCTCTTTTCATCTGTTTCTAAAATATAATTCTCTAGCCCAGAAAAGTCAGTCTTACTTATAGGCAAAAAAATCTTGTAATATTTCAAAAGTGGTGTATATGATTCTCAAGAGGGGTTCTGCAAATTCTTGGTGGTTTTATTGGTGTTTATTTGAAAAATGCATATTAGAATTGTGATTTTCATGAGCTTACAGTTTGTGTAACTTTATATCATCTGAAGAAGTCACTGCAAATAACAAGGCGTGGCAGTGGGGATTTTATTCTGTTAATTGCATAATGATAGTCTGCCAGTTTCCTTTTTTCAGAGTCTTAGAATACCCATCTCAAATGGAGTCTACTTACCCCTCCAATATAAAATAATGGCCTTCTTTCCTTTTCTTGCCCTGTCACGATGGCAACTACTAAAAGGAATACAGTTGAAATGATACTGTTGATAAGATCCTGTAATGCAAGTTAAAAATGGTCAACTTTTTATGAAAATGGAATTTCATAAAATATTTAAATTGGTCAATTACACATCTAAGAATGATGCCTTTTATACACTTTCCCTTTGAGATTAAAAAGAACCCTCAGAGCATAATTCTTATATTTTCTAGAGACATGAATTTATGTAATATTTTGTCTTGGATAGGGACTTTCCAGAGATGGGTTCCTTTTGGAACACCATTAAAAAATCCACCACTACCAACAACTTAAAGTGCGTAGGAAAGTGAGCATTAAAAACCTAATGGGGATTGTAGCTCAGTGGCAAAGTGCTTGCCTAGCATGTGTGAGGCACTGGGTTCAATCCTCAGCACCACATAAAAATTAACAAATAAAATAAAGGCATTCTGTCCATCTACAACTATTAAAAAAAAAAAACCTAATTGTCTGGGGCTGGGGTTGTGACTCAGCGGTAGAGGGCTCACCTAGCATGTGCAAGCCAATGGGTTTGATCCAAAGCACTACATATAAATAAATAAATAAATAAATAAATAAATAATAAAGTTATTGTGTCCAACCACAACTAAAAAAAAAATATTAAAAAAAAAACTAATGGTCTAGGGGCTAGCCCAAATTGGCACTGCCTCAATATGATTTTCTGAAGTCTTATAGTATGCTATTTATAACACATTTGTTTTAATGTAAAAATAATATTGGAGGAGAAGTATAATTTTAGATTATCACTTTACTGACTGGATTCCACTCCTAAATCTTCAATGCTTTTTAAGTTTACATGCTCTGAGAATGTGTGAACTCCTCTAAGGACCAGGACTGATTTTCTGGAGTGAATGGCTTTGATGTTGACTTTGCGCTTTCCTGAGAGGTGACCAGAATTGTCTGCCCCCACATCTGCAGGTTCTTTGAGGATTTTTTTTTTTTTTTTGTACCAGGGATTGAACTCAGGGACACCCGACCACTGAGCCACATCTCCAGCCCTATTTTTTATTTTACTGAGAGACAGGGTCTCACTGAGTTGCTAGGCCTTGCTGTTGTTGAGGCTGGCTTTGACCTCCTCTCTCAGCCTCCTCAGCCACTAGGATTACAGGCCTGCACCACCATTCTGGGCTTCGAGGCTTTATTCTGGATTTCAGTATTGAGTTCTTGAACTGATAGTTCAACCTACCTCTTTGTATGCTGAAAGAAAGGGTGAGGATGAACAAACTCCAGGTGTTCTTCCTATTGAGGTTGGTGAGCCAGGGCAGTGTGAGCAGATGTTGCACTTCCATGGCTAAGTAACACCAGCCAGTGGCACGCGTGTGTGAGTAGGGGCCAAAGCCTGGGGTGCTAGAATCACCCGATGGCCCAGATACCTAATTTGAATATTTGAAATATGGATGGCCTGAATGGCAATAGAGCATTCTAGTGCTCAAACAGAAGACAGGAGCCCTGCCATTTGGTGTATGGGATCAGGATGTTACGAATGAAGCTCATCAGTGTGCCAAGCATTTTCCAGTCATTTTCTCACTTAACCATCAAAAAGCAGCCTCCAAAGTCAATAATATTATGACCCCCATTTTACAGTAAACATAAAGGAGGCTTAGAGAAGATTATTAAGTTGCCTAATATTAAATAACAGAACTCAGCTCACTGTTGCCTCTGATCAGAGACCTAAACTAAAAGTGTAGTATCGTATCTAATTTTTTTTTTTTTGATAACAGGGATTGAACCCAGAGGAGCTTAAACACTGAGCCACAACCACAGCCCTTTTCAATTTTTATTTTGAGACATGGTCTTGCTAAGTAGCTTAGGCCTCACTAAGTTGTTGAGGCTGGCCTCTTAATTTATAATCCTCCTGTTTCAGTCTCCTGGGTCACTGGGATTACAGGCATGTGCCACCATGACTGGTTTTAATCCACTTTTGACATTTTCTGTGGAATGAGTCTGGAAGGTCAAAACGTATGGAACAAATAAGTTGAGAGTGTTTTTGTTGTTGAACTCTTCTGGCCTGTCATTTCTTATATGTGTGACTTGGAGCAAGTTTTGTCTCCCCTCTGCCAATTTGATAATTTAATATGGGAATCATCATTGGATTGATCTGAGGATTAAATGGAATAACGAATCTGAAAACATCTGATAATAGGACTCTAGTAGGTAGTGGGAGTGCATCAGAATATGGATTCCTGACATCTGCCCCCCAAATGTTCACAGTAGTAAACTTTCTTCCTGTTGAGGTTGGTGAGCCAGGACCTCTATCATGGAACATGACTTGCCTCTGGAAAGAGCAAGTCCTGGTAGGGTTCTGCAGGCTAAGTGAGAAGTCTGCCTACAGTGGGTAGGCCTAATTGAAGCAGGCACAGAGTTGACAGCGGTGCAGAAGGCTTAGCACTTGAGGGCTGTGTTAACCAAAATGTTCAAAGATGCAAATGAGAATGCTTACAACTAAGAAGCAGAGTGTGAACTTTTAAAAATCCCAATGAACCAGTCATGGTCCAGGATCATTAAGAATTTGGATGAAAGCACATTAATAATGATATAATAGTAATATAAAATAAACCAGCCACAGACTAGGCCCAGCTAATCTTTGACTCCGTGTCCTATCTCCTCAGTAGACGACTGGACACAATAATTTGCTCTGGTCCCTGCTCACAAAGAAGTACTGTCCTGAACTGTCTCTCACAACTCCGAGTCGCCTTGTAG